CAACCAGGCAGGGATAACCTTTTTTGAAGATAGGGATGACCATTGCTAAAGACCATAGGCTTGGTAAGGAGCTGGTTCTGAATGATATCTCAGAACCAGCTCCTTATGCTTAGGGGTTCTGCTATGGCAGTAGAGAGCTTTTTTAAGAAGTATGCACAAAAGCCATCAGGGCCAATAGATAAAGATGGTTTTAGGTAACGTAGTGCATTTTCTACGCTATCTTCAGTAAAGTGATCTACTTCAATATATAGTAGAGCATTGCAGTTAATTGTGTTATGATTAGGAAATATGGGGCATGAGCCATTACTGTTTACAAAATCTGAACTGAAGAACGTGTTGAAGAGGTTTGCCTTAACAGCTTCATCGCTGTAGTCTTTCCCATTAAGTCCTTTTAGGGGTGGGATGGTTTTTGAGTCTTTAAGTTTGGTGTTTACAAAGTTATAGAAGGCGCAGGTGGATTTTGTGCGTAGAAGGTTTTCCTCTTGCTAGCAGTGGTAATTGATGCATTCTGCCTTTATCTGTGGGCATAAGATTGGTGGGATCTTCATACACTCACTTATTATTATTATTATTATTATTATTATTATTATTATTATTATTATTCACATTGTATCATTTACTCTGGCTTCCAATTTGTTTATATGGCAGCTGTTCATCCAGACAGAGCTGCAGTATTCAGCTGTATAATACGAATCCCAATGTTGATGTTCTGAGCATAGAAGCAGAAGCTCCCTGAAGCATGCAATTTCTAGTATTAATTTTTGCTGCAGCATTTCTTGTAAGAGTGCCAAGATATTTTCAAAAGGGGGGGTAAGACAGCAGGCTGCTATAGAAGTATACCACCAGGACTTTTTTTGCTTTTCGGTTATTAAGGTGGTAACAAATGTTTTCTGTTTTGCTCAAGCTGGGGATGAGCCTCCAGTCAGCAAAGAACTTCCTCAGAGCTTTTAGTTTCTATGAGGGAGTTGTTACCATCCTCTATATCAGGGGTGTCAAACTCAAGGCAGATCCAACCTACAGGGTGCTTAGATCTGGCCCCTAGAGCTGCCCTGGAAACAGCAAAGGATTGACCCCATGATGCCTCTGTCAACGAAAATGGAGCTCTGTTTTCACTGGCAGAGAATTGCAGGAGGTAATCACAGCTGAAAATGGAGCTTGGGAACCCGTTTTTGCTGGCAGGGTGCTTGGGCCACCACAAGCGCCCATGACATGAGTGACATCGAGCTGGCCACGCCCACTCTGAACTCACTGAGATCAAACACAACCCTGATGCAGCCCTCAATGAAATCAAGTTTTTTTTAATATGTGTTTCTAATTTTCAACATAAAGCATCATAGTTTCAACAACATTCTTGACATCTATACATATGTTCTTATCATAAATATTTTTAAATATATATAATACACATTGTATTTATATTTATCTAATATTAATTAATAACTAATTATAATTGTTATTCCTATATTTTTACATAATTTACAAATTTACATTTTATGGTACATTCTTAAGGTTTCTTACAGTTAAGTTTCTTGACTTATTTTTTTGTTCTGTTTGCTAACCAATCATGCCATTTATTCCAGATTAGATAATAATCAGAGTCATCTCTTTCTTTCAATTTCAATGTTAACATATTCATTTTGGCATTTTCTGTTTCTTTTTGTAATATCAGTTCTTCTTTAGGAATATTGGGAGTTTTCCATACCTGTGCAAAGGCTATTCTGGTGGCTGTTGTAATATGTAACAATAAATATTTTATTTATTTTGGTATTCTATCTTTAATAATTCCTAAAAGGAAGGTTTCCAGTCTGAGCTCAATCTGATAACCAGTAATCTCTTGAAGCCAGTTTTTAATTTGAATCCAGAATGTCCTAGTCTCGGGGCATAGCCCCACATGTGATAAAATGTACTGTCAAACCTTCTTACATTTCCAGCATTTTGGGCTTGTGTTGGGATAAATTCTTGCCAATCTTGTTGGGGCTAAATACCATCTGTAATACATGTTTTCTTTGTATACTGAGGATATAGTTAATTTATAATTTACACTCCATATTTTCTCCCATTCTCCTAATTCTATATTGTATCCAAAATTCTGGGCCATACTATTCATTGAAATCAAGTTTAACACCTGTACTCTGTATGTTACTTTTGGGCTGCTAGGACCTGGTCATCTGCATAAGCAAATTTCAATCTTTTGTTATCTAGCATCTTAGCTATGCATTAGTTGAACAATATGGGAGCCAGCACAGAGCTCTGTGGTAGGCCATTATTTAATCTTCTAAACACCCACCCCCCATTATTATTTGAAAAGTCCTGTTGCTCAGCATATTATTAATAAAATGGATAGTTTTTGACATGGGATGATGATCAGTTGTAATTTGTATAATAAATCTTCCTTCCAGACTCTGCCATACATTGCAGTCAGGTCCACAAAAACTACTGTGGTTTTAAGGCCTCATTGGAATCCTGCTTCAGTATAACTTGGTAGGCTTAGCAGTTTCAATTTTGTCGAAATCCTATTTGTTCCACACAGAGATGTTATTCAACTGTAGGACCGATCTTGTTAAGAATAGTCGTTCTAAGAGTTTACAGCAAGAACTTAAAAGGGCTATTGGGGAGTAGCTTTCTATTGTCTTTTAGTTTAACTAGACTTAAAGTTGATATCATTTTGCCTTATTAAAATGTGTTGATAAGTAGCTGCTGGAGACAGTATGTGAGTAAAACATAATTGATTAGTTTATGTGTGTGTTGCCCATAATTTATCTGGAATTCCAGATGGATGGCATCAAATCCTGATGCTTTATTCCATTTGATGGTTTTGGTAATAGTATTGACTTCATCTGCAATGAAAGGGCATGAATAGTCAATATGTGTTTTACGTGTTTGTTGTAGTGTCCTGAGCATTCTCTTGATGTAAGTGGTATGCTTCTTGTTTCTTGGTTCTTTGGAGAGGGAGACAATTCATAAGGCAACTTAGTATTTATCTCAAGTGTCTGTCATGGTGGATGGCTAGCATCACCTTTTTTTTACAATAGGCTCTATGCCCTCCTGAAGGATTTTTTGAAGTTTAGTTGTGGATGTCTCTATCAGTGATACATTCTCAATGTTACTCCTGATGCAGGTTGGCATGCCATAACTGTGGTGATAAACAACAACAGCACCAGTAAGTTGTATCACTGGATTTACTCTTCTTTTTCATTTTCAGTATATGTTTTTTGGAAAATGGCCGTGTTGATGTGATTTTCTAATAAACATGGAAATAAATTGGCTCTTTGATCTATTGAGTCTTTCAGCATTAAGCTGGCATATATGAACTGTGTTTCCACTTGAACTTCCTTATCATCTGGATCTGAGAAGGGTCATTGTGAACATATCAATGTGTTCGGAAGCCAGAAAGTTTACAGTATAATCACAAAGTAGTTTGGCTGCCTGAACATGCTAATGCATTTAGTTCACAATTTTGTGTTATCCCTTGTGCGCCACAAGGGGCAAATTAGCTCCATACAAATGTATTAATGTATTCTTGTGGCTACAGTCCAGACATCTGGTGTTTCTAGAGCTAACTGACATTCTGAGTTTGATCCCAATTCCAGTCTTGTGTCAGTCACAGTCTGTACAGCCCAATTCTTCCTGCTGTGCTCTCTCACAGAGTGACCAATGCCCCAAGCCAAGCTCAAGAGCTTCAGCTTCATCGATCTTGTTGATTTTCTGCTTCTTCCACCAAGTAGCTTGAGCAAAACACAATAGCCACAGCTCTCTACTGTCCAGCAAATAAGGTGGACATTCCTAGCCTGCCCAGTTCCCTAGGCAGGCAGAAGAGAGAGGGGAAGAGAAGGAGAGACAGGAGACCTCACAGCATTCTTGAGTTGTTCAGGGAAAAGACTATTGGAGCTCTTCAGCCATCTTTCGTTCCTGTCCACCATATCCGCAGCTGCTAGGAGACGTAAGTGGAGAAGCCCAGTAAGAAATAAAGTAATGAAGTAAGAGATAAAGTAATATCAAGACCAGGAAAAGCTCAGTGGGAAATGAAGGGACAATCCAGCAGCAGCTGCCCTTTGAGGAAGCATGTTGTGAACTTTGTATGGGAGGTCAGAAATAGCAGGCAAACTTAGGAAAAAGCCCTAAGACTGAGATCTGTGCAGTGGATAAGGACACTGAAGATTATGTGGATGACGTATCAAGAATCACCTATGGGAGAGAGCTATTGAAGTAAAAAAAATCCCTCCGAGGTCTAGCAGGAATGTCTACCAAACTTCATTAACAGTCTTGTTTGTTCTTCCTGTTCATACATTGAGGGAAATCACTCAATAAAAATGATTGTCTTGTGTTCTTCCTATAGACTATTTTAGTTAGCAGGAAGCAGCCATTTACATAGGAGGATCAGCAACTCTCAAGATACACCTCTTGCACTTAGTACTCATTAATAAAAGTTGAAACTGGTCCTTTAAAAAAATCAATTACAAAAAATAAACCAATATGAATTATGAATAGAATTAAAGTATATTTACAAGGATTTGCCAGTTGCATTCATTGAAAATGAAAACATCACTCCCAAATGGGTGTCAGTGTATGAGAGTTCATGAATTGGAATAGACATGGTAACAGGTCAGCCAATGAGGATTGTTTGGTGACTCAGATGGCTCAGAGCCTGGGCGTGGCTTAGCTTGCCTGATCAATATATATACGAGTTGCTTCTGTGATTATGACTTCTGGATTCTGAGTTCTGGTTCTACTGCATGGGTATTGTATACATGCATCATGTTTTATATTATTGTATATAAACAAGTTTCTTCTATAAATGAATCCTGCTGAATTATTTACTTGTGTGCTGGTTGGATTGCTGCAAACTCTGACAGTTATTAATGGTTTTATATGATCAAGCATTGAACTCAACAGTGAAAGTACCATCAGCATTATAAATCTTGGTCTAACTATCACTCTTTGAAATAAACCAACAGTTCACACAGATTTATTTAGTGAATTTTTCTCTGTTCTTTTCATAGGAATGAATCCCATTTCTGTATCCTTAGAAGAAGATGGGGGAACTTTAACAGAAATATGTCAAAGCAAAGTTTGTTCTCACAGGTGGGTAGGACAGGTGCAAGAAGTGAAAATTTACATAGTGAAAACATTTCATAATGGAGACTAATGATTACCTTTGTAATTTCACTAACATTAGTGAAATTGTTTCACTACAATTTCTCATTAATCTCAGTTACGTGAATGAGCTGTAGATTCATACATTCCTCATACATACACATCCCTGTGTATGTATGCAAATGTGTCTTACAAGTGGCAGTAGTAGGATAGAGTAACTTGTTATGGAGAATAGCAGTTTGAACACAAATGTGAATCTTTGAATGAATAAGTGAATTATTTTTCACTTGGGAACTTTTTTAAACCAAATATTTTTTTTTATTGAAAAGGTATAGTTGCGTCAAATATTCATTGCTTTAAACTCAGAACTGTAAGGATCTTTTTCCTTTTTGGATCTTTTCCCCTTTTCTCTTTTATCTCAAGAAAGAAGGAGCAGATAAAAGAACACCAATAGATCTTTAATCAGTTTTTTAAATTTTATTATCTCTAACTTTCAAACAATGGATAGTTATAGTAAAGCTAAGTGGAAACAAATTATACAGCCAACTCTACAAAAGAGACAGGCATATCAATATATTGATTTTGAGAAAAAGGCCTAATTGTCTAAACTCCTGTAAACCAGTACAGGTAATCTTTGACATGCCACAATTGGAATAAGAATTTCTGCTAGTAAGCAAAGCAATTATTAAGAGAATTGCACCCAATAATTACCATTTTTTGCCATGGTTGTTAGGTAAATCACTGCCATAAAATGAATCACTCAGTCATTAAGCAAATCCAGCTTCCCCCATCAACTTTTGTTGGAGGGAAGATTGCAAATGGCAGTCTCATGGCCCCTGGGATGTTGCAACCATCATAAATACATGCTAGCTGCCATGCTCCCAAATTTTGACTGAGTGGATGCTGCAACTGTCATAAGTACAAGGACATTACTTTTTTCAGTGCTGTTGTAATTTGTGTTGTACTACTTGCACATGAAATATAGAATACAACCAGTCATTTAGTGATCATTCAAAGTTATAACAAGTTAAAAAGGGAAAAAAGGGACAAGTGACTGTTTTTCACACTTAATAACCATTGCGGCAGTCAAAAATAAATTTAGATGCTTGGCAACTGGGCTGTATTTATAACAGTTGCAGCGTCCCAGATGTCATGTGATTGCCATTTGCAATCTTCCCAGCTGGCTTCCAATAAATAAAGTCAAAGGGAGAGCCAGATTTGCTTAACGACCGATTCAATTAATGGCAGTGATTCACCTAACAACCACAGCAAAAAAAGGTTATATCAGGTACAATTCTCTTAACAATTGCCTGGCTTAACAGCAGAAATTTTGATCCCAATTGTGCACATAAGTCAAGGATTACTTGTACTAGTTTCCAGATGACTTCTTTTACAAGAAAAGTCAATAAAGAAATCAGGTTACTAACTTAACAACTGCAGTGATTCAACTGTAGCAAGAAAGGTCTTAAAATAGGATAAAATCCATTTACAACTCTCTTGCTTAGCAATGGAAATTTTGGGCTCAATTCTGGTCATAGCTGTAGAAATACTAAAAACAAGAATTAAAGAAAAATAATTGCAGCACCTGTAAGACTATAGAGAACAAGGAATATAATATTTTTAGAGAAATGCAAGATCCATTGCTAGGTGACAAGGGGGAAAATGTATTTTTAAATAATATTTGGAAGTGGCTTAGATAGATAGCTTATTCATTGAATTGGTTAGAGTACTGTACTACAGACTACTTCTGACTGCCAGCTGACTGAAATTTGACAGTTCAAATCTCACCAGGCTCAAGGTTGACTCAGCCTTCCATGGTGGGTAAAATGAGGACCCAAATTGTTGGGGACAATATGCTGGCTGTAAATTACTTAGAGATGGCTGTAACGCACTATAAAACGGTATATAAATCTAAGTGCTATTGCTATTGCTAATTGTATGTAGCAAGAGGAGGAACAACATAACCTAATTCACAAGATTATGTTATTATATTCAATCTGAATAAAAGTAGCTGAGCCAATTTGATGTAGTACTTAAGAGTATCAGGCTAGAAAGTAGGAGACTCTTGAGTTCCCACATAGTACAAATATAGTTGAGTGATTTGGGGCTTGTCACTCTCTCTCTCTCATCCTTGGAACTGAGGCAAGGACAAACCACATCTGAAATCTTGCAGGGAATAGTCCAAATGGTCACCAGGCGTCAATTCTCAAAGAAAGGAGAAGCCTATAGATCTCCTGAAAGAATGTTTGCATCTGAATACAGAATGCAGCTATAACAGCTATAGCAAAATTCTGAGTGGCAATAAATAGATATTAAATTATATATTGTAATTACAGTTTTGCAGCCAAAGTAGACTTTGGATTCTCATATTTCTTTTATTTTTGTTCATTAAAGAGTGCAGACATATGATTGTGGGGAGCAACTAGCTGATTGGTTTACTAAGTTTCTCGGTCGACAATGTCGCCTGATTAGGCAGAGTTCAAGCTTCAAAAGAAATACTTCTAAGAAGAATAAAAAAGGTAAATATTTTATATCTTCGTTAGAGAATGAATAATATTGAAAATATTAAAGACACTAGAGTTATAAATAAAAATCCAATCACCATAATAATATACGAACATTTTAGGATTTCTAAAATATACTTAAAAGCAATTTACTTTAATGTTTTGTTTTCCCCAAGTTTACTGTACAGCATATTATGTAAGCAAAATGCTTCCAATTAATTAAGTCTATTTAAAGCCTGTGCAATATGCAAATTGTGACTCAGTTGTGGTATTATGTATGATGGAGCTGAACATAGAACATGTACCTAATGTAAAAGATGCATTTAATAGCTGGCTTCAAATATTTAAGTAGAAGCAATACTTGTGTTTCACTGTATGTTCAGTGCCCTGTAGTAGAAAATGGATTTTTTATTTTCACTAATTCTATTATCATTTTACACTGTTTGTACTTTAGGAGAGATCCCAGCTGTAATTCCTTCACTTTCCTTAGTAAATGAAGCACAGTATCTCCTGATAAATATGACAAGTATTTTACAACTGAGAGAACAGGTTACTACAAGGTAGGTATTTAGTTTTCTATAAAAAAAAAAACCCATTTTTTTGCCTTGTGCATTTTTATGCCACTTTAATAACCATATTTCAGGCTAAGATACTTAATTCAACTATACAAACTATGCAGGATCTGAAAATTTTATCAACATGATAAAAACAGCCAGTATTACAATGATGCTCCTTTTAAGTATAACAAATAGAAAAAGGGAGGAATTTGCTTTCCAGTACTGTCACAATACTTACATCATTTGTGCTCCTGTAGGCAGCTTGGCATTTCTGCATTGCAACTTGTTATAGAACCATAGAGCTGGAAAGCAGGAATATGAACAATTGGTTTTGCTATTGCTAATAGAATCATGGAGTTGGTCAGGGACATTTAAACCATCAGGTTTAATCCCCAGTTCAATGCAGGAATCTAAATTTAAAGCATCTCAGACTGTTTAACTCTGCTTGAAGTTATTGTAGCAAGTAACAAATGTATAGTCAACCAGATGTATAGACTGAATTTGCAATTTTTATTTACTTATCAAGTCCTTCCCAAAGTATAGGAAGATGTTGTTTGATGGGGTTTTCGAGGGTATTGTTGCAAGAGGTAGGCTGTTCCAAGTAAACTGCCTTTTGCGATTGAATGATGGTGATTTTGTCAATGCAAATGGTTATTCAAGTAATGTTCCAAGGTGCTTATCACTTTTGATACTAAGTTTACTATCTTTTGTCATATAGTCATTCTATTTTTATTTGAAGATCTTTATAGTTTGTAATTTTCTCTTGCTTCTCCCATCATTCTAACATATAACTGAAGGTGATAATCATACTTAATATTATTCTCTCCTATTTTCTTTACAACCACTCTGTGCAGTGGATTAATCAGATTTAAATACCGTATTTATCGGCGTATAACACGCACAGGCGTATAACACGCATCTTCATTTTAAGAGGGAAATTTCAGGAAAAAAAATTAAATTTCTAAATAAAAACTTTGAAGCAAAATAAGGGTAGCTCAGAACTTTTTTTTTATTAATATTATTACCACTTATAAGGTAAATCAGTGGTCCCCAACCTTTTTTGTACCAGGGACCGGTTTCAAGCAGAAAATTTTTGCAAGGACCGGGGGGGGGGGGGG